GCCTTGTGCATGGTAAGAATGAGCTTTGTCACTGGGCTACCTCCCCAGCCTTAAAAAAATCAATTACTAATGGACAGAAACTGTAGTGCTATTTTTCCCCTCTCCTTGGCATGCCCAAAACTCTGCAGGCAGAGAGCATCTCATCTTGGCAGCCACCTCAGGCAGCCTCAAGTCCCTGGAGAGCAGGGTGCACATGGTGTGGTTGTGCCTGCATGTTGCTATTCAAGTGACCTCCACGGCCCTTTCCTGTGATGGTCACCAGGCCTCATCTCAGCATTCAGCACCACCCTTTTGAGAGGAATACAGGCCCTCTGGGAACCTGCTCACCTTTGCACTGCTGCTGTGATCTTTGTGATGGCCCTTGGGCTTTGTTTTCTTTTTGATGCGTTTTCCCAGTTCAGATGCCAAGTCTCATCTCCATTCCGCAGCACTCCTGCTCCTGTCACCCTGGTGTGCTAGCACTGCTTCCAGTGGCTCTGAATTGGTCCCAGATTCACAGCCCATGTCCAGATTCTGTTTTAGAACCATAAAGCAGAATCATACAGTGTATCTCAGTAGGCACTTCCTACACACACACACACACACACACACACACACCCCTCTCTAGAACCTTATCCTGTGTTGTGGTGCCTATAATATCATAAAATTATTTAAGTTTAAGCATGGTCATTTCAACTGTTATCTTTTTAGTGGTCTTTTGGGCTCTGCTAAAACATCTGCAGCTCAAAACTAATGGAGGTCAGAGATTCCTATCTGCTTCATAGCTTACTTTAATTCAGAAGTATGATTATGGGCACAGAGAGTCTGGAGACGCTGCTGGTTCCTTCAGCTTTTGTGTCATCCTCTGTCAGTATAAGTAGAGGAGGAAGATGGGAGAGACTTTCTGCTTCAGGCCAGAAGTAGTGACAGTCAGGGAAATTTTATTTTATTTTTTATTTTTTTTTTAATAATTTTATTGAGAAACAAATAGCAATAAGACAGTTTCAAAACCTATTACTAGCACACTTTTTTTTTTGACATCAGTTATTTTTATTTTAAAGAAAAAAAAATAAAAACAATGGTACAAAATCTCAAAACAAGATTTTAGGAGAGTAACAATGGTTAGTACATTGTGTATTGTTACTGCCAAAGTAGTTTCTCATATTACAAGATATAGGCAAGAAATAATAAATAAACAACATAGGTACAAACCTCTATTTTTTTTTAAGTCAACAGAAAATGGAAATATACTTTTTAAAGTGTCTAATACTAGGAGAAGATATCATACAATGTCTTTTAAATAAATTGAAAGTCAAAGATATAGTTTAAATCTTAGAACAAAAATTAAGATTAAGCAATATTCAGAAAATTAAATGGTTCAAAACAATTGAACTAAGAAAAAGTTTTCATGATAGCAAAGAAGTACTAGAGTAAAACATAAGATAAATACTGGAATGGCCAAATAACATCAGTAAGACACTAAATGTTAGCACATCTCCATGCACAGCATTATTTAAGGGATTAGACCAAGTCATAGTTAATTGTCGTTAGCTGAAGTAGAGCCCGTTGCAAGCCAGATTCTAAGTATCCCAAGTGTGTTAGCTTTCTGTCACTGTAAAAAAATACCTAATATCATCAATTTAAAAAAAAAAAAAAGACTGGCTTTTGCTCGCAGTTTCAGGGGTTTCAGTCCATGCCCGGTTGGCTCCATTGCCTTTGGGCCTAGGGTAAGGGAGAGCATGATGGCAAGGAGACCTGCTCTCCCTGTGGCTGCTGAGTGGCAAGAAAAGACAGGACACAGAACCGCTGTGGTCATGATATCCCCTTCAAGGGCACAACCCCAATGACCCAGCTTCCTTGTAGGCCCCGCCCCCAAAGAGGATGCAGCATCCCCCAGTAGTGTTGCAAGCTGGCAGCTGAGCCTCTGATACAGGGGCCTTTGAGGGGGAGCCTTGTGCTGACCATAGCACTGGCCCACCACTCTGCCCTCAAGACCTGGGCTGTTTGGTATGGAAGGGGCCCTGTGTCCTGCATGGCTGCAGAGCACATGGAACACAGCTCCTGTAGACTGAGCTATGCTATGTCACATACTAAATTCCAAGAGCTTAGTGTACAGCAAAGAAAAAAATCTAAAAGATCTTAATACTTTTATGTTTGATTCTTAGAGGTTGAAATGGTATTTTGAGTATATTTTGATGAAGTAACATATATTATTAAAGTTAATTTCACCTGTTTCCTTTTATTTGTTTTAGTGTAGCTACTAGAAAATTTAAAACACTATTACATGGCTCACATTATGTTTTTGTTGGACACAGACCATCTGTGAGCTGCAAGACAGAGCCATTGTTCTACAGACTTCTTCCCATGGCTTCATGTGCCTGAACTGTTCGCTTCAGCTTTGGGGCTGTGGGTGCAGGCCCATCCTGTGGAGGTGTCTCCAGGGTTCTTGGCTGTGAGGGAGTCCACACCATGTGCACTTCATGTGCTTTGAGGCTTCATAGGGCCCGGCCTCTGTGGAGTTGCCACTAGGCCGAGAGACATCCTCTCCACATCTCATCCATCAGGGATACCTGCTGCATTCCCAATGGGGCAGAAGCCATCTTTGCACACGGCAGCCCCTCCTCCAAGCCAGGGCACTGTCAGGCTCCGTGGGCACAGAAGCTTCACACTGGGCAGGGACTCTCTCCAGCTGCTTCTGATGGATGTTGCTAAGTGTGAAGTGGCAGGAGGCACAGACTTCTTGGTAGCTGTGCTGCCGCCTTCTAGACAGGTTGGCCCTGGAGCAGCTGACCACAGTGGAGCAGGCGTGGCTCGCCTTTCTTAAGCTCCATCCTGTCTATGGTCTACTCAGAGCACTCCAAGCACTGTCTTGGTTGTCACCGCAGAACACTTACCATATCACATGTATGTGGCAGCCATATTAAAAAGCTGCAAGAAGGACAAGGTGAGACATATCTGAGAAGTTGGAGATTATGTGACCTTCAGAGTGTGCAGTTTTCTAGATGGATTTTAGAAAGGATGGCTTTAAAATTGTGCTCTGTCCAACTCTACTGTCCTTCTGGATTTCTTTTAATGAATCACCTTTTTCATTGTTCTGAGCCTTCGTTCCCTTTTTTTCTTTTCTTCCTTGGCTTTATTAGGGTATGACTGACAAAAATTATGTATTCAAGGTATACAACATCATTACACTTAGTAAAGTGAGTGTCAGAAGCAAACCAGATAACCTGTGCGTCTCCTCACAGAACATTTTTTAGTGTCTGAGGAAAACTTGAGATGAACATTCTGAGAGAGTTTCAGGTATACAATACAGCATTATTGATCATGCTGTACTGCGGGTGTCCAGCTCTTATTCATCTTATAGCTTAAGAGTTATAGTTGTCAATCAATGTCTCCTCGTTTCACCCACCCCCAGCTCGTGTCGAGCATTTCATTCTGTTACTCTGAATTTAACCTTTTAAAAAATTCCACATATAAATGAGATCAAGCAGTTTTTTTCTTTCTTTGTCAGGCTTATTTTCCTTAAAGTTCATCCATGTTATGACAGGATATAGCAGAATTCCCTTGTTTTCTTTTAAGCCTGTGTAATATTCCATTGAGAATGTATAAATAGACTTTTTTCTTAAAATTTGTGTGCAGAACGTCTAAGATTTTTCCCTATCTTGGCTATTTTGAGTAACGCTGCAGTGAACGTGGGGTGTAGCTAGCTCTTTGCTGTGCTGATTTCCTTTCCTTTGGATGTGTACCCAGTAGTAGGATTGCTGCATCATATGATAGTTCTATTTTTAATATTTTTTAAAACTCTCCACAATGTTTTAATGCCTATATCCCTTCCAGATTTCTTAAATATGTTCTCTTCAAAAGTTAGGAAACTTTTGAGCCAGTGTGACAGGAAATTGTAACCAAAGGAGGCATGTATGTGAGCCTCAAGCCTGCCTGGATCCTGGAGCTCTATGAATCAGGCCCTCTGACTTACCAGTACTCTTTGCAGCTCACAAGTTCTGCTCTTGCTCTTCTGTGTGGGCCCCATTTTGGAAGTCCAGGTCATCTGGGCTGTTTGGGACTTTCCAGTACAGATTGTAGAAGGGATTGACATGGTTGCCCAGCCTCAGACACAACCCACATCAGAAAGTTTGAAGATGTGCCCACACATGCATGTCCAGTACCAGGTTGGTGGCATTGGTAGACCAGAAACCTGACAAGGCTGGCCACAAAGTGAGCGTGAGGGTCCCCAGTCCTTGATGGGTTACCTGCGCACAAAGATGCGTACTCTACAGTGTTTTCATTGGAACTGTGATTTATAAAAGAAAAGGAAGTGACTTCACATCAGCCAAGGGCATTACTGTTGGCTAAGAAGCACCATATGTATAGTTGTCTTAGTTACTTTCCTCTCCTTGCTAGGACAAAATACTCAACACCCCAAATTAAGAAAGGAAAAGTTTATTTAACTCACAGTTAATGGAGGTTTCAGTCCATACTTGGTTGACTCCAAGGCACAGTGGCACATGGCAGAGGGCAACAGTTCATGGCAGCAGAAAACAGCAAAGAGCAAAGGGAGGGGCAGCAGCTGCAGCTGCTAGCTAGCCTTTCTCCCCCTCACACTGTAATATAGATTACCCAGCCCAGAGCAGGGGTAGCACTCACACCCCTAATCCCAGCATTGGAGCATGAACTAATCACATACTCTAGAAGCCACCCCAATGACTGCATGAGGGTTTGGGGGACAAGTAGGTACAAACTGTAACAATAGTTAATTGAAGAACAACCAGGTGCTATTGCAGTGTTAAGCAACTTAGATTTTTCCATCTGTGTTTGAGTAATGACCATACATGTTTTCTAAGAACAACCTCTTAACACTAGCTATTTACTTCTTCATTAAAAAAAAAGTTGAAATGTCTTAAAATGAATTTTATAAACTTGTAAAATTTGTTTTTAACAAATTTAGTTGAGGTCTGAGGATTAAACAGAAAACATAGCAGTCTAATATATCATTGATTTTATTAATTTTCTTTTCTTTGTTACAGAGTCCTATGACCCCAGCAGAGTGGAGAGAGTGTGACGTAATACCAGTAAGGCCCAGGACCACCTTGGTTTGCTGACTGAGTATTTTCTGGTGTAGTCTGTCCTGCCATCAGAAGGCAGAAACTGCTGGGTTTTAGTGTCCCAATTTCCCTTCCATCGGCATCTGTGGAGATGAAGCAACAGTCCACTGAAACCATCTGTTTTTATAGCATGAAGATCTAATGCTTATATTCAGAAAAAGTTTTCTCATAAACCCTACTTCCTGATGCATTGGCCATGCTGGCAAATAGTTAGGTGTTGCTCTGTATCTGTGTGGGAACTGAAGTGTGGCAGCCACTGCGAGCAAGCCGAGAGCACCATGAGCGCCCTCATCTGGCGCGCTCTGTAGGGCTGCAGCCCGGGCTCTTGCCCAGGGGCGGGGGTGTAGGCCTTTGCCTGGTGTTTTGGCACTTTGAGCTGAGGGAGAATGTGAGTGAATACCTAGGACCCATTTCTAATCAATTTGGCCTTCTGCTGCTGGAAGTGACTTGACTTATAAGTAACTTGCCATCAGAGAATAAAAGCAATATCTTAATTCCTAAACGATGACACTTGTAATATACTAGAGTATTATTTATCTGGCAATGAAATGCTTTGATCGTTTGCAAATATGCCATTGTCTGCTTTGCACTCAGTATTATCTATTTTTATTTTCTGTATGGATGTTTAGAAATTCTTTATATGAAAAATAATTGCTGGTTTAAAAGAGACCATTTTAACAAAGTGACTATATTTCTTTTTACAAAATTGCTATTTTTCTATGATGTAAACAGTTGTTAGGTGGCAGATTTTTAAGGAAGTGTTATTTTATTTAAGAGTATACCCTTGTGTGTGAGAGGAGCTCAGAGAGAGTTCACTTTCACTCAAAGCCCAAGTCCCCGACCTGCTTGCATCCTGCCACTTTTATTTTAGGAAATGTCAGTATAGGCTTACCACGACATTAAGAAACTTTGTTTTGCAGGGGATTTTTTTTTTAAATAAATGTAGCTGTAAGATTATATTTGAAAATAACCCTCTCAAAGACCAGTCCACATCCCTTGACAGTTTAGCTGCCATCTCAACTAGAATTACCAAAAAACCCCACATCGTTTCATCTTTTTATGTCTGTTAGGATCTTCTCTGTGACTGGCCTTTCTTTCACAAATCCCCCACCCTGTCTCTTTAAAGAAATCTGTATTTTGTATTTTTAATCTAGAATGATCCTGAATTAGCCTCATATACATTTAAAAGTGTTTGGCACATATATAGGCGTAGGCCATTACAGAAGCATTATGAGGCCCATGTATCCTACTGTGTTTAATACTGCATTAACCTGCACAGTTTGTGCATTTTTATGCATTTGTCCCTCCCTTCTAAGTAAGGTGTTTTTGCTAGCTCACATTCTCTAAATAATTTCTGTCTCCTTTCCTTTCTTCCTCCCATGCCCCTCTCCTTTAATTTTTTTTTTTTTTTTCTTGAGATACTGGTAACTTTATTTCTGAACATTTCAAATTCCTAAAATGTGAACTGTTGGCCACTCTGTCCTTTGGCCCTGAGCTACGCTTTTGTAGCCCATTCTTAGCTATACCAGATGATTTTATTTCCTAAAGACCTTATGTGTTTGGACTTTGACAAACAGAACGGAGTCTAGGTAATGCTGATGGATCTCTTCCATACACTCCACCTGCTGTCTTGGTTCCCACCCGCTCCACACAGGGATCTCTTATAAGAAAATTCTAACTTCCTCTTCAGTTTTGTTGACAGTGTCTAAAGACCTATTTTAAACAAAATATTAAATTTGCTCTTGTTCCTCAGAAGAAAGAAGATCCTCAAAAAAAAAGTTTGCCTTATATGTATCTCAAACAGCTCAAAATACAGTGCTCTTCTGTTTTGTTTTATTCTAAATTGCTGTATCTTATCTTTGTGAATCCATTCTGAATTTTGTTAAAATTACTAATATTTAAACTTAAAGCTTTATTTTTTCTGGATTCAATCCTGTATGTCAATTTTTAAGGAGAAAAGGTGACTTAAAAAGTTAGTAACTTGAAAATTTGTCTTGTGAACTTTAATATTCTGAGGTAAATAATAGTCGTTAAGAAGGAATAGATTTCCCATAGGTTTTGAATACTCTTTTTTTTTTCATTATGTCTGTTTCTCATACGTGTACAACTGTGGCTGGAAAAAAGGCCTCATACCTTGTGTTTGTCATTGTTTTTCTCATACACATGATTTCATGTTGGTGTTCAATAATTTGGAGCTTATAAAATTAAAGGTCCTAATTTTGGCCATTTAAACCAAATCTGAGGAAGTACAAGTGAAACATATGTACTGCAAAAAGGAAGAATGATGGTAATTTGGCTTTGGTTGCCTTCATTTGAAGAAAACTTCTGAGGAGTTGAAAGTGAAATATTTGTGTTGTTGTTTTTTAGCCTTTTGTTTCTACAAACCCCAGAAAAATCTTCCCTAAAGACACAGCTTGCCCCGTTGGAGCTTCAGAATTATTTCTGGCTTGTTCCTAACTATGTGGCTTTCCTTTTCAAAAGAACCTAACATCGTTGATATCCTGATTTCTTTACAGGAATTGTGAGGCCTAGGCTTTGGTCCATAGGGAAATTCTCAATAGAACTTTCTCTGTTCCACCTGACTGCTGGTCCAAGTGTGCAGCCTCCAATGGCTTGGAAAGCAGACCCTGGTCGCTCTCTTAACAGCAGTGTGGCAGCTCCTACAATGTCCCGGATGAGGAAGCTGGTCTGCTATTGACAGAAGTTTCCCAGCTCTGACTGGGAAGGCACTGATGGGCGCAACACTAACCTGCATCGCATCCTGTGGCTCCCCAAAGTTTGTTTTTGCTTTTTGTTGTGTTTTGTTTGTTTAAAATGATTAAATAATGTGCCATCAAGTGTCAGGTTAACATCTCTTGCAAAATGACCAGTGCAGCAAAATTCTATAAATATTTGAACTCAGAGAAACACTGCTGACTTCCTGTGTTCCTATAAACGGTGATGTGAGTGCTGGAGAGCATTGTTCTGCCAGGCCCAGCTGGGCAAGGGAGATGAGGCTGCAGGAGTGGGGTCCGGGAGGCGGTTCTTAAACTGAAGCCACTTCAGGCCTAGGGAGGTTTTGCATTTTTCTTTATTTTTTACTGCATATTCTTTACATCTGTTTGTAGGAGGAGAGCTGCTCCTCAGGATGCGATTTCAGAGACATGCCAAATGACCTTTAAGAGTGCTTGGTGGGAGGTCTTTCCCCAGGAGTGTGGGTTGGTCCACAATGCACCCCACCATGCCAAGAACGGGGAGATGATCAAATAACATTAGCAGAAATATGGTCAGCTGCATATTGTGTTGAAAAGAAAAAGAAGAGTGCTTCCAAGTGTGAGTTCAGATGGAGACCTCTCACCAAGGCTGAGTGGTCTAACACCTGGCCTGTTGCAACAGCCCTTGGGTCCACCCAGAGCTCCTGCACATTCCTACTCTTGATGTTTGGAAGCCCCTGTCACAATTGAGGTTACTGATACAGCAGAGGCCAATAGGGTCCAACTGAATCCTTTCCTCGGGCAAACTGGGCTTGCCCAGCCACTTCTCCCAGTGGCTCTGAGGCTGTGTGTGTGTGTGTGTGTGTGTGTGTGCGCGCGCGCGCGTGCGCGCACATGCGCACATACACCTTTGCCTTGCTGAGGCCTGCAGCACTTGTTCCCTGCGCCCTGACACACACTGGCCTCAAGGGAGACAGAGGCATGTTCAAGTTGAGAAGCAGAAATTAAAAATGAAAATCCTATGTCAGAACTAGGAAGAAACCAGTGAGGTCCTCTGCATCTGGGCTAAAGGCTACAAAATAAATAAAAGTGAGATTTGGTGAAGACAAGCCTCCACGATCCCAGGGAAGCTCATCTGCTCACTTTTTCTTTGGGTGCTGCCCAAGACAATGGAAAGGGTCCCCAAAGGGTCCATGCCAGCTGTAGTAGTCACTTTCGGACAAGGAGCAGTGAGGGACATAAGCACAGACCCAAGGCCAGCTGAGCTCAGGTGGACATCTTCAGGAGCACCGTGTCTCAGCACAGTGTAAGTAGCTTCCTGTTTCTGGATGACCCCGAATAAAGATCGTGCATGAACGCACCTCCATCCACTGTTGTTGGCTGTGGGGACTAGAGCTCCCCGCTTCCCTAATGGCTGCTTTGCTGAGTCCAGGGACCGCCACACTCCATCACCTTCCATCTCCACTCAAGAGGTGCCCTTTGGGTGTCTTCCAAAGCACTGCTGGGGAGCTGGAAAAAGGCCTACTCAGTTCAGGTCTGGGTGCCTGGCACATGTCACTTTGTGACTTCTCCTATTGGCCTCTCCTATTGGATGTGAAAATTAGACACTAGGTGTTGGTGCACTCCTGCACTCCCAGCGCTCTGGGAGGTGGAGGCAGAAGGATCACAGCTAAAAGTCCAGCCTGGACAACTTAGCAAGAGCCTGCCTTTAAAAACTCTTTAGGGCTGGCAAGATAGCTCAGCAGCTAAAGCACCTGCTTAGGCAAGCACAGGGACTGCATTTCAATCTCTGGTACCACATCCCATGCCAGCTCCACCCCCAGGGCAGGCTGAGCCAGCCAGAATCTCGGTGTGGTGGCACATGCCTGTTGTCCGAGTGCTGGAGAGGCTGAAAGTAGGAGGACCACCATGAGTCCAAGCTGCACAGTGAGATCCAATAATAACCAAATACGTTAAAAATAATTAAAAAAAGGAAAAAAATTTAAATGCTTGGGGTACAGCTCAGCGTGAAGTCTTTGTAATAAATCACACACACACACACACACACACACACGAATCAAATATATAGAAAAGTCCCTGGCAGACAGCTTGTAAGTGTTCATGGAGAATGACTAGACCTTCATCTTTTGAGGGAAATACCTGCTTGGCAGCTTGTAGATTTAAGCTCCAGGCCTTGGCCATCAGGGCTTACCTCCTCATTTCCTGTTTGGTGGTTCTGGAAGCATGTGCAGGAGACTCAGCTCCATGTAGGTGTAGTTGGAAGCCCCGCCCGCGTATTTCTAAGCTATTGCCTGAGGTTTTACAGGCCAGAGTCCTCCTTCCTGAAGTGGGCCTCTTCCCCCTTCTCTTAGGTTTGTAAGCCGCTTTACTTATCTCTGCCTTCACTTCCTATGTGTGGGATTCAAAGCTGGATGGATGGGGGCCCTTGTAGGTCATCTGCATTTTAGATCACAGTAGGATTGGGATATAAAGTAGGAGCTGCCTCTCCCTACTGTGTTAATAATTGGATTGTTATGCTAAGGCCTGCACCAGTGCTACAGGATGGGGCACCCCGAGGGCTAGGGGCCTGGTCTGGTCTGCTCTGCCATTACCTAGCTATGACCTTGCTGCCCACTTGGGAACACTGGGTTCCATGAGTGGGGAGAGGGACTGAACTCAAGTCTCTGATCTCTGACTCTTAAGATGATGTAACTTTTTGGCAAACCTAGAATTCCATAGGGTCCTTGGCCCTGTCAGAAGGGCCTGTGAATAAGACAGTTGGAAAACTCTCGCTCATGTGACAGAGGGCTGGGTCCTGGCCAGGGTGGGAGCCCTGCCATCATCCCAGCATGGGTGGTCTACTTCCCCATGCCTGTCACTTAGCAGGCCGTCTCCCCTCATAAGCTAGGGACTGGCCAAGGGGCTGACAGCACTGAAACCTCCCTGGATGCTTTCCTTATGTTAGGGCAGGGCACTCAGTGGATGAACCTGGCAGGGGCCCAAGGTGTTTCGTGACAGCCCACACAGCTCTTTCACAGCATGATGGCCCCAGGTCCTTCACCTGCAATTAGGTCCTGAGGTGTTTGTGTCACGCCAACTGGATCAGGCTTTCTGTGTCTACCCCAAGCACCAGCTATCAGCCTATAGGGCCCAGGCTGGGAACGCTGTCAGTCACAGAGTTTGGAAGACAGCAACTCTATGGGACCTCAAGTGGGCCCTGGGTTTGGTTTCAGCTGGACAGCCCTGCTGTTCTTTGGGTTAGAGGAGATTTACTGCCTCTCCTCTGTCCTGGGCTCCCTACTGCACCAACTCTGGGTGTTTTGACCTAACTGAACCCCTGAAATATTCCTAAGGTTAGTATAACAGGGTCAGCTTGTACAGGCATAAACTCAAATGTACACTGATTTACCCAGGACTACTTTTGCATATTTAAAATGAAATGCACAACACGAAGGTGAGGGAAGACATGCAAACTAACCTCTTGACTTGTTGTGCTGTCTGTTACCTGCTTTGATGCATATCATGGTACAGGAGACCGAGTTAGCACGGCTGGCAAGAGAGCAGGGATCCAGCCCTATTCTGTAGCCCCAACGTCCACACGCTGTTTCTCTAACACCTGCTGCCTCTTTGAAAGTCTGAGAAAATGATCCTCTAATTAAACAGGAAATTCAAGAGACTTTCATTTGGGGGATTCTGGTGGGCAAGGTCTGTGGTCCCACGCAGGGTCTGGGTATCTGATGTTGCACTTACTAATGTCTCAAGGATGTTGCTGCCTGCTGCATCTGTCCCGCTGATGCCTTCAAATGCTTTTCGGTGGTTCCCTGCTGCATGTTTGCTTTTGTATCCACCCCTATGAATGTTCTGGAAAATATCTTCTTCATACACTGAGATCACTCTGCAAACCAATAATCATGGAAGAGGGTGCAGGCCCAACCCTGTGACACCAGCTGGAGTCATGAAATAGTAAGGCAGGGTCCATCCTATCCTGTAGTAGAACCTGAGGGTTTCCAAGGATATGGCTTCCTAGGAGCTGGGGCAGCAATACAACCCTGAAATCCTGGGAACCTCCAGTGAGGATGTGGAGACTGTGTGGCTTTCTTTGCCTACCTCTGTCCTCTAGCCCTGCCTTTGCATGAGTCAGGGGGCACCCAGCTGTCCCTCCTTCGCCCTGGGACTTTCTCCTGAGACCTGGTGGGCCCCTCAGGTGTATTCCACCCATCACACAGCTCTGCCCTCCCACAAGGATGAGGACAGGGGGAATAAGGTCTGTGGTCCTGCTGTGGAAGTGGACACCTGTAGCCCAGCTTCGCACTTCTTCATGGAGATGATGAGGGGTGCTGGCTGGCAGGCATCTGTTGCCACCAGGTTAATGCCTGTAGGTGGGTAGTAGAGTGCAGCTGGGTGCTGGGTGCCGGTCCACACCTGCACCACTCTATCAGTAACAGACTGTTGGTTTATTCAGTGCCACCATGGTGCCCAGGTAAAGACTAGTTTCCAGACTTCCTGCAGCTCGTTGGACTGTGTGATGTGGATCTCACAACAGGAATGTAGACAGAAAAGAGCAG